GACAAGTTTACTTTAAAAAACGTAATATATCCCTTTAAATCACCGATAATTCCATACATTTCTTTACTTTATGTGGATAATAATTCTTGCTTTTACAAATCTTATGGCAAAAATATTTTTTTTGCAATTTATATTTTTCAGTTTTTTATGCATGGAACTCCTCTTACATCAGCCTCGCTGAATTTAAAGTGTTGGTAATTACATTTGACAAGCAGGAACTTCTGATGGTTGAGCATAGATAAGTAGATGAGCTTCCTGTGCCCCATTTTTCCACTGTAACCCAATAATTTAAAAGCACAAAAAAGCGACAGATCTGATTTAAGATCCTACCTGGTGAGCAACTTTCTCTGCACTATATCATAATGAACCGGGGCTGTCTGATGGGGGGCTTGTGACTAACTATAGGCATTCATATTTAATGACTGTCTTCATAACTACAGGCAGGTATATATGCAGGTTAATGTCAAATTAAATCAAACCAGATCGTGCTATAATCATACATATGCATCAAGGCATATTATAAATATGAATTAATGCATAGAATGACCTAGATATAAATATTGAGTTCAGAATTCTGCTTTTAGTTTTTCTGTTTCATAATCAAATAAGTATTACATTTCATTTCTACATTTAAATCTGCTCAAGCTCTCTGTGAGAAAATATATCGCAACTGTCAGCGGTGTTAATGTACAGATTCAATTATTGTCGCTGAAATCTAGAACAGCTCAAAACAGAGAGGACAGAGGAATGAAAATGAGCTTGAGCAATGATAAGTGACTCTGCAGTTAGCCACAGTGGTCCTTCCACCTAACAGCAATGTGCTAACAGTGCTAAGATTGTGATGTTTAGCATGTTCACAGGTTCACAATGAAAACATATCACAGTGGAGGTCGATGGGAATGTTTGCCTGAAAAATTCGGACTTGATTATTGCTGTAGATGAAAAATCAGAGGATCCTACAGGGCCATGAATGTCGACTAAAAATGGTAAAATATCAACAGTGGTGTTAAGAGGAAAAGTCAGAGGATCTCTATGGTCAGTAGGATTCATCCTCTGAAGTCATAGACAGTATATAAAGATGCACAACACTGGCTCCTTAAAAGAGAAGCCAAAGCGTCTTGATCATCAGATTAAGTCATAAACCAGGCGTTCTCCATTTATACAGCCAAAATCATGTAAAAAAGACAAACATGCATAACAGTAATACAAATGAGAATATAACTCATCATTCTCATACTGCATCAAAACAAACAAGCCACCTAATATATGCTTTCTGCTCTGCCAACACAAATACTCCCATATTTTAGCCTACTTTCTGCAGCCTCACTGTGCAGTTTTCACTTCATTATTCAGCACAAATCAGAATAACAGGACAGGTCATCAAAGAGGAATGAGATAAATATTTCAGATGGTGCAAATGAAAGCAACAAGAAAAGTACAAGAGCTGTAATCACTCTCCACAAGAGATCAAAAGACAGGTTCTTTATTCTTTAAACACACTGAGATCAGATGAGAGCCAGTTTCATGCACTCTCACACTAACAGGGGAGCATTACAACCCAGTGATTTTCACCCACATGAAAAGACGAGCGCTACTGAGAGTGGCAAAGGATGAGGTCTTCAAATCACAAAAGCAATTCTTCTCGTTCTGTTCCGCACACGGCGACAGCGACAGTCAGTGTCATCGCCTCGGCTCTGCTGGGAAAAAAAAAAGCTTTACGCCTCTTCAAGGTGTCAGCATCCACTCGCTCACACAATTACTGGATATGCTGCTGCTGTAATTAAAGTCCCCTTTCAGCACTCCACACACAGTGACCTTTTCCAAACCAAACACTCATTGTCTCAGTTAAGCCAAGGCCCCTTCCGCTGGGATGTAAATGGACATTTTTATGTTTGTGACAAAGAAGAATGTATACTAGCAACGGCATGCAACTGGAAAAATAAAGACCCTTCTGAGAAACCAAGCCTGATGGGGGTTTTTTGTACCCATCCTTATGAATGGGCATCAGCGTCAACTCTGGCAATTAACTCTTGAGGAGATGGAATACCCTTGATAGGCACCATCATAACCTATAATCAGAAGATATGTAAATGATGGAGATGTTTCCCCTGACACTGCAGTGCCAGTTGTCTTGTGGTTCCCTGGGAACTCTGCTGTCAGCACTCAGGCAGGAGAATGGGAGTGATAGCAGAAAAGGCTGTTTGTTTAACATGTCACCAGAACAGCCGTGCAGAGAGCGAGGGAGCAGATGGAGGAGCAGAATAGACAGGGACACAATCAAAAACGGGTTTAGTCCCCTCAGTCACTTGTATACACCTAAAAAGTACAAACGCTGACTGCAAATAGATGCTGGCAGTAGATCTCACAGACATATGCCTTCAGAAAAAACGTTTAACAATTTGCCTCAGTATCACTCCTTTTGTACTGTCATGCACATAAAAGATTTTACACCCCATTTTCCCCCACAACGGCTCATAAAGACAACACACGACCAGTCACACACAACTGTGGCCCCTTGTCTATGAAACGACAACCTATTTTGTTCTCATTTAAGCTTTTTATATTCAGTAAGAGGGTGGGGTACAAAGGGGCCTTAAGCTGTCTTGGGTCATTAATCCACACATTTTCTTTCTTCTTTCACAGTGTGTTTTCTGGCAGGGGAAAGCTGACAGATCAGACAGGGGCTTCCTTCACAGGCTGCATGGCCGCGGGCTTCAGGAGGGTGGGCTGCTCGCTGGTACTGGGGGCAGCAAAAAAACGTTGCCTGTCACCGCTTGACGGGCCGCTCCAGAAGTGCAGTCATACTCGGGAGGTATGATTGATGATATTGTGTACGAGCACTGGATCTGGATGCCAGCACTCGCCTGTGATTTAATCCCTGGTCCTTCATTAAACATCCAGGCTCAGCAGATGGACTGTACAATGCCAAAGCAAGTCTTTCCCTGAGGCCAAGGTGGTGAGTGTCAGGACCACAACCCTAATCAGGTCTTTGAGGCAGCACTAACTGAATAAAGGAGTTGTAATGTATCCAGTGTATGAAGTACATATGAATCTACAATCAGACGATTAGAAGATTAGAAGACTAGTTTATTTTGAGCTAATTTAGATTATTTTTTCTTGACATATTAAATGAATCTATGAGATCTCAAACTCCAACTGTACATTTATCAAGTAGAAACGCACTTCCCACTTTATTCTCCATGATGCTCAAGCACATTTATGCTATGAAGATGAAAGCCAGCCATGATGAATATTAACATTTCCTTGAACACACTCAATGTAAAAAAAAAAAAGTGAAACTGAATTGCTTAAATGTATTTTGGTCCTGTGCAGGCACAACACCTTCTTCTTTGACAAGACTGACCCCTAGAGGTGATTCCAGTGACTTAAAACATGAGCATGCAATCCTCCATATCAACTGTATAATTGTCAATTCCACAGAAATAGTAATCCCTTTGTCTTGTATTACAGAGTAAAAGACAAGGGTCAGGTTATACACCAACACTGAGGCTGCAAGCACAAGCTTTAGCATGAGAGTCAAAGCTGTCAGTCGCTAAATCCTGGAATAAGCAGAGCTACACTGTCTAGATTAAGCCAACCATCCCCCCAAGTCAGACCACAAAGAGTTCATTGTGCTTGGATAGCATTTAAAGAGGAGAAAGGAGAATGATTTTGGCCGTGATTTACTGTTATAGTTTGGCTACGTACATCAGCCTCAAAAGTTTATGAAATCTCTCCCGATTGAACAAGATGTACCACTCAGATGCAGCTGAGTGAGAAGTGATGACATGAAGTGCAGACTATTGTTGTCCAACTGGAAATCAAATGACAGAGAAAAGGCATTGTACTGAAAAACAATGTACTGAAAATGCAACAAGAAGACAACATTATCTGTGTGATTACAAGCAGCAGTGTTAGTTCTCACTGCAGCAATGCATGAGAGAAGTACACCTACCTGAGAGCCCGAAGGTACAAGACCTCGGTTTAAAGAGAGGTGGCCGCTGATGCATCATCGGTGGCGACAAATTATCGTCGATACCACTCTACCACATTATCATCCATCTCTCTCTGAAAAGACAAAAGTATCGCTCCACGCTAAATCATGGGATCAATGCATTTCTATCACTGAGAGGAATTGGTCTCCGAGTGATCTCTGTGGCTGAGTAATGTGAAATCTATCGCAGGTTAGTCCACACAGCCTGGACAAGCTCAAAGACAAGACCCCAGAAAATTGTATTGATCAGCGGCCACAGGAATGAAAACCGAGGACTGAGAATGTGACGAGAATCTGAAACACACACACATGTCACTTCTGAAAGCAACACTTTAAAAAATTATTTTTTTCAACATTCAGATATGTTTGTAATTGTGATTACAAACATGTTGAAAATAGAAGGTCCCCATGTCAAACTAAAAGCCTGGTTCACACTACACCATTTTCAGCCCAATTTGTTAGTCGACGCAAAGTTTTACAAGTTGCCAACGAAAGCAACTTGATCAGCAGTCGCCAATCACTATGTGTGAACTCTTTAAAGACTAGAGAGGCTCGCCATCTTCAGCCAATCGGAGCACAGGATGGGGTATAGGTGGTGAAGATTGACATGGTGAGGTGCCCCTGAGTTTTAATACTGTACTGTCTGTGATAAGGGAAATCAAGCACTATAACCATGCACTGGGCTCGGGTTAGGTGCCGGGTTCAGGTCCTGCTCGGTAACTTTTCTCTCAGGCTCGGGCCTGTACTCTTAAAGCTAAAGTTTTTCACCTCCTCCTGCTTGATATGTCATCCTGTAAGCAGGACACCAAGGATCAGTCAGACTCTTCCCGTGTGTGTTTTCGTTGTGCAGTGATCCGCTGACTCTGAAAGTCAGGTTATTGGTGCACTTAAGAAAATTAAATCATTTCTGTCTCATATGCAGCATGAAAAGATCAGAACATAGTTGCATTGTTGCAACATATTATCTATGGTTTCAGTGTAGGCATAGTTTAAGACACACACTTACCTTGGGCCACTTGGGGTTAAGCTCACAAGCCTTTTCAGCATCCTCCAGAGCCACCTGGTGTTGTCCCATTTTGAGAAGAGCTGCCGAACGGTTACTATACAGGATGCAGTTCTGTGGATCGGCTCGCAGGGCCTCACTGTACAAATGAACAGCCGCCTCAAAGTCACCACGCTGACACGCCTCATTGCTCTGCTGCACTTTCTCCATGAACTCTGCTTTGCTGAGACCATACCTGGCCATGTCGTCACCACCAACACACCGGATCGGTCTGCCCGCTGCCCGAGAACTGAAGATTGAAAACTGGAGAAAAGGGACAAAGAAGAGTGAAAGATTGAAAGATCAATCACTGCTGATGGACCTTCACAATATGTATAGAGATCATGCAGCTGAGATGTGAAGGAATATCAAGATAAATGTGAAGGTGGTTTCTGAATCTGTGTTACAAACTAAATATACAATTTATAAGTAGGTTTGTGTGCGTGTGTATGTGTGGTCCAATGTGATAGTTGAGTTCAATAAACATTTTTACAAAAGAAATATTGACATGTGATAGCAGGTCTTGGTGGTACTTAATAATATTAGTAATGGCCGAATTCCATTTAGTTTTGCCAGTTTCAGGATCCTGGTGCTGTGCGTGCTGGCTCAGTGACACTGATAATAGAGTCATTGGAATTTGTTACATTTGTTTCGTTTTTGTTGAAAAGTCAATGTCTGCTGTAAAAGAAGTACAGTGGCATTCTGTAGAGTGAATACCTCCACCATGTTCCTTTTAATTTCATCAAGCTGCACCAAAATGCACACACTCATCAGTTCCCTAAATATGCCTGATTTCATCAAGATTCATAAATTATATCTCTGGGAAATTTATGAAAACATGGAGGAAAAAACCCACTCTTGCAATGTTAAAGTCCCCTTATTTAATTTATTCATTCTTGGCCCATGTCCCATCCTTTCACTAAGTTTTATACATAATCCTTCTGAAAAACAAACAATCAGATGGACTGGGCGATGTATTAATGAATTCTCAAATATTGCAGTATTTGACAATTCATCATACAAAACTAAATGAACGATCAATGTATCTATTGGTGTATTTTCTCTCAGAACTATAGAATGAAAGAATATTTCTAAAATAAACTATTTCTTTTCTTTTTGGGAGTATAACACTAGTAAGATTGCTGATAATGTAATATAGGTCAACTCACCTCTTGTGTATGAAGCACAGGTTCATCAGTTTATAAAAGCAAATATCTGTTTTCTTCTTTTCCATCCAATTATTTCCAAATAGAGTCTGTGCCAATACAGATTTTCACGTCTGTTTACATGGTCTTCTTATATACAGAGGTTTAGACACACAACAGTATTGTATGTCTAATAAAGACATCTTGATTACACTGATAATCCCCCACCACAAAAGATAATACCTGCCTTCAGGCAAGGCCGTCAGCATCACTGTGGGACTGAATCTTTTATTGTTCCCCACTCATTTTCAACTTGTTACACTCCTCAACCAGATGAAAGGCAAACAATTTGAAAGCAAAACAATTATCTTATTGATTCAAGTCTTACTGTAGCTGCATCCAGCCAATACAGTCCGATTGATTAAGCGTGTGAGTGCCGTACCCATTTAACATGGACGGTTTGCTGAATATTAGCGAATCATGAAATTCATCTCGGGTTGCAAAGTTTTTTGGGCCGGCTTCCATTATACCTCTTTCTCACCACACCTCCTCCTCAGACTGAATTCTGGGAGAGGGCAGGCTGGGTAATTACTTCCAGAGGCCCAGGGAGTTGTAGCAGCAGCAGCAGCAGACATGAGCGCTGTGAGTAGAAAGCACATCCAACAAGTTTACACTGCCATACTGAGCTGTTGCTTTCTCGCAAACCCTTTGACCTCCATCGTTTCCACCTTTTCACTTCTTCTCATTGAGATCATCATTAAATAATCTTTTCCATGACACGACAATAAAAGATTAGAAGGGATGGACTTCCTGCTTTTCTTTGGCTGGACTTTTTAAACGTCTACTGTTTCATATTGTGCAGCTAATCACTGATTCAACGCCCACAGATTAGCAAAAGAATAACAACGCTGCAAAAATCACCGACAGCATGTGCCATGAGACGTTATCCCCACCTCTCAGGAAACAGACAAGCAGACTGAGCGAGTGGAGCCAAAACCACAACTGACAGCACTGTCATGCACACTGACATTCAAAGTCTCGATCACAAAGAAATGTCAAGAAAAGCATCCATTATAGATTGGTGCATCCAGGGCCTGCAAGCTCGTAGGTTTACCCTTCAAGCAGACGCTGGTTGGCAGGACTGGGGGGGGGGGGGGGGGGGGGGGGGGGGGGGGGGGGGGGGGGAACTAATCAAGAGGGTCTGATCTGTGTTGCCTCATCTGTTTCAACACACTGGGGGCTGCCTGCAGTATGTTGGCAGCGGTGGGGCAGGAAGGGTGGAGAGAGAGCGATAATGATGGCCTAACACCAACAGGACAGGACAACCCTACCAGCCTTATCATAAGAAGAGAGAGAGAGATGAACTCAACAGAGGCAAATACACTCTGGACTGAACTTATCTGGGAAGATCCTCTGCCATCCAGGTCATGCTATCTTGAAGACTTGTACGAGTCTGCAAAGGACTGGACTTGCAAACGTTTCGCCTCTCATCCAAAAGGCTTGATTACTTCTAGACAAGTCCTCTCAGACTCCTGCATTAGTCGAAGTGAATTCTTTCCAAAGTGTGTGGCAAAATATCTGTGAAAGTTCTCAGTCATCCAGCTCGTGGCATCTTCAGGGGTTGCACAACTGCACAAAGGCAACTGGACTCGCTCGTGTTTCTTGAGGATATTTCGTCTCTCGTCCAACAGTCGTGAAGAAGATCTGTTTCTAGAGCTGAAGAAGCATTTTGGATGAGATGTGAAGCTTCTCAGAGCAACAGAAGCTACTCCTGAAGATCTGGGCTGCACAGTTTTGTTGAGGGAATTATGTGGATTTACTGCACACAGACAAACTGCCACTGTGAGAATCTGTGGCAGCACAAGCTTCTCTGTTCCTGCAAGAATTGAATAAAGGTTGATCTAAGTTTGCAGACTGACATTAAATCTCAGTTGGAGTTGTGTTTAACAGGAGAGACCTCACATACACACACAGAGAGAGCAGCACAGTGCAGTTTGCATGACTGGAAAATCGATAGAGCTCCTTTTTTTTTTACGAGCTTTTCGCAGGAATGGTCATTTAGGTATTTCCTGTCAAGGAAAAGTTTTCTGCAGGAGGCAACAACGTGCCAAACGACTACAAACATGGCAGCTGTCTGAGCCGCGGGTTGTTTTCAGTGTATTTACCTTTCCTTTGAGAGTCGCTGGCTTCTCCATCCTGTCTGCCTGCTGTGGTTTGAGCTTCTTCTCGCCGCTCTCATCCCACCACCCTCCTCGCTGACTTGTTGTTTGTCATCCACTGTTTGCTCCGAGTGTCGCCAGAGAAAACACGTCCGCGTCGTAGCGCAGATAACCAGCGAGGAGAAGGCGCAGAACCGAGCGCAGCCGTGTGTCGTGCAGGGGGAAACTTTTCTCAGGGAAACTGCGCCATGTTGTCAAATCTTTTCCTTTTTTTCTGCTCCCTCTCTTCCTCCTGGTGCCATAGCGGACTTTGTGAGCGAGGAGGTCTGAGAGAGTCTGAGTCAGGACTGAAGAAGTTCTGCTGGGGAGGTTTAGAAAGTTCGCTCTTATTTTCACTTGTTTTGTTTGTCAACTTCTTCCAAGTCCAAAACAGTGGGATTCAAAGAGGCCAGAGGCGTTCGTAGACTCTGTGAGGTCAGGGGTGGGGGTGAAAAAGGGGCACCTGTATATATAGTCCCCCTGTTCGGGCTGAGCAACACCTGTAAATAACAAGTGGGGGAAGCTGTTACAATAATTTAATGCTAGAGATGTGATTCCCAGGTTGAGTCACAGTCTGTGTCTGAAATCACCCACTCATTCACTAACCCCCGTTTTACTATCTCGCTATAAAGAGGACTATATCGTGAGCTCATCAGCAAAAGAAAAATTCTACGCGGCAGTAGTTACGTCACTGTCGCAGAATTACAGTGTACAACAACAATGTCGGCCAGTGGAAACACTTATATACATTTCTAATGTTTATTTTATAGTAAAACACTTGTTCAATGATCATCTTTAAATGTAGAAATAAACTGCAGTTTATTTCGTGATGCTCTGCTCATATTTACATTAGTACAACAGGTCGGTTCGTGACCATTGTCATTGATACACTAATCAAAATGGAGAACTCACTATAGTACATAGTGATTAGTGAGAGATTTGAACACAGCCATAGAGGAAGACATGACTGCTCCCCAAAAGTGAAGCCAAAGCATCTTGGTTGCGCCCTGGGAGCCTGTCTGATGATATGTCATAAATCTTGCCTCTTGCATGTTCTTCATATACAGTCTATAGATTGAATCAGGAATTTTGGATGGCCACTATCATTTGGTGAAATAAAACGATGCTAATACAACCTGCTCCACTCATTTGAGAGGAGCACCAGATGGTTGTGTATTGGGTTTAGTGAACAAATGACTCCAAATACATAACACAGCCAAAGTACCTAAAAGAGATTATACAACATGTTACTGTGAGACTGTTAGTGGTCATCATCTTGGATTAATGCATGAACACTCATTTGGCAACATTGCACAAATGAATGATTCAGGCTGAAGTTGTTCAAAACACAGTGACACTGAACTCCCCTTCAAGGCTTTTACATTTTTTTAAAAATAATTGCAGCCAGAATCTTAAGCTTAGCCGACACATCAATAAATTATTACCAATAATCTTTTAAAATGTTCCATAGGCCCTGAAGCTTGAGACTTCTCTAATAATTTGCAGACACTGTATAAACATCACCACAATGTGTGTCTGATTGTGCCAGACTGATGCAACTCAGACGAAAACCTGTATGTGCAGCTCGTCACCAGCAGATGGTGGAACAGTCCTTCACAGAGAAGCCTCTGAACTCCTGAGGCTCTGAGAGAAAGTTACTCAGGTCTTGTAATAGGCCTTTTTTCACAGCAGGCACTTTCTTATGAAATAGCAGGAAGAACACACGTAATTAACACAAGTAATGATGGCTGAATTGCTGTTGTGCCGTGGGGGGGTGCCGCCTGATATTGTGCATGCTGGTTTATTGGATTGACTTTTAATGGGACATTTAAATGGAATGGATTAATTGTTAATGTTATTGGCCCCACACGTGCTTTTCCTGCTCAGTCAAAATGTTCACTGTGAAAAAAGCCCAAAGTTCTGTATGTTTTAATATGTCACGCATTAGTTATTGTAAAGTGTCAGCACAGAAAGGAGACAACCTAGTTTGAGTACACCCAAAGGTCATGAACTGCTCTGGTTTTGTGTAATCTGTTCTGTACTTTGTACAAAATAGCATATTAATAACATGATAACATAACGTGATAACATTTGATTTTACAACACGTACCACTGATTGCAAAGATGTGTAAGGTGCACCTACATGCTGAGACAACGGCCCCTGTTCTGACTTTTTATTTATCTCTGCTTTTGTACATTTTTATCACGGCCAAAAAAAAAAGATGAATGAAGGTGTTTCTGAAGTGGCACATTTTTCATCTTTTCAAAAGGAACACAAACTAAACACAATAGAAATAGAAGAAAAAAATTCCTCCACATTTTTCAGACAAATAGTATGTATAATGCCGATGAGCTCAATTCAGTTTCTTCAATGCAGAAACTAATGTTGTGGGTTCTGTGTATTTATTTATTTTTTTGCTACAGCTGATTATGCAAACAAAGAAAAGAACCAGTAGTTATGGATTTGCATTAACTCAAGGCAGATAATTTCATGTAAGTTCTTTTACATGTTTTCCCACCTGACAAAGAAGGAATCAGCAACGTCATTTGACACAATGACCAACATACAAGAAATCTTTCAGACACCTGATGAAAATGAGAAATGCAATAATCCTATAAATGCCCACATTGGAACGAATCAGAAATCAGAAATCCTACTCACTGGATTATCACAACTGATATATCACTCTTTATACTTGTGCATATTATTAACATCAACTCAGCCTTTGTGTT